TGGCAGCCCAAAATGCTGCAAACATGTACGCATACCATGGAAACTTCAACAATGAACATGCGCACAAAATCTCAAACGTGACAAGGGAAAACAAAAACGCAAGTGACATAATCACCCTGCACATCCCTGCACTTGAGGCTCGTCTAGCACCAGTTCTTCAACCTCGAGCTCCAGTAGAACCAGTACAACGAGTACCTCATCAATCTCCAAGACGTCTCCTGGATTTGCAGCGTCCGTGATGACTTTTTTCCCATTCGTGACTCCACTAGAAATGGTGAATCTACTAGTAATGTATAATAATCTATATATTATATATATGTATATATACACCATATCACATCATATTATATGATATATATATATTATATATATATACACATACGTATATTGTATGATGTATATAATGTATATATAGATATATAGATATGTATAGAAAAAAATATATATCACGTGATATGTATATATATATGATATAATATAGTATATGATTTAGAGTATACAATTAATATACATCTTTCTTAGGGTCATTTTTATATGGCCCAAGAGATCCAAGGTCTTCCAGTACCGCAAGCACAACGACATCCATCAGCAACACCACGTCCACCAGCTCCACCTTTACCACCACATCCAGTACCTTCAGCACCAGCTCCAGCACCAAAACCACAGTGCCTTGATGAAAATTGGAAACCCCCACTGGTTTGATGGAGAAATTTTATTCGAAAAATGGGCCATACAAAGTACGAGATTTTTGCCAGTTTTTTCAGACAAAGCCATCATATTGGAGAATATTTGAGTACAGTAATGGAGTAGAAAAACCACATTGAATACCACTTGATAGAAGTAAATGAATAAGTATAGTTCAACTTTGGGAGGCATAATTGTGACAAGCGCATGCATAGAAGTGCCCCGAGGATTTTGTTAGATGCTTTTAATGTTTGGTCAAACTTGCAGAGAAGGTCAACTTAGATTTCAAAGGGTGTGAATTTCAGTGGTTTTGGGCAACAAAATGCCTTCAACCGTATGATTGGTGATATTCTCTTGAGGATGGTATAGCGCTCATACCAACAGGAATCCTGTCAAAAGCTGGAATTGGAGAGGTCATCATATGCCCAGGGGTCACTTGTGGCCCGCTCAGGAGACTACAAGCAGTATTACCGCAACCACCACCACCAGTAGTTCCATTACTTCCACCTCAACCAGTGCTACAGTTTCTTGTGCTTTCCATTGTTTTTGGATGAGCTCTGGTGTTCAACATGCAAAAGATTGGACCTGCACAGCCTGAAAAGGGTGGAACAGGTATGTACATTTTTGAGAAGAGTGCCACTCTACCCGAAGTATCCAAAGTGTCGATGGCTTTGGTGATTCAAAGAAAACAATCGGAGCAATGAATCAACCCATAATTGTGGCTATGGGCCGAAATTGGGTGCAGTACCCGGGTTACCCCCAAGACAAGGCAGCTAGTTCCCAAAAATCAGCTACCGGTGGATTCCTGGGGACCTCAGGTTACCACAAGCACCTTGAGCTTCACAAGCAGTACCACAACGAGCAGCACAGCAACGATTGATCCATGGGATTTGTAGACGATTGTTAAACGTTTGCCCGGCGTGGCTGTTTGATCAGCCTGTGCCGTTGCATTTCTCAGAATGCGCGAGTTCAACATACTATCATGTTGACTTATGTTTTGTTGAAGTAATATATAATAATACGTATATAGATATACGTACATATATAGATAGATACATATATAATATATATAATTATATATCAGTGTTTTTGTGGCAATTTCTGACTCTTGAAATGTAATCATCATACCCTTCCCATAGTCTGCCCCAATCATCATGGTATCCATGGCGCCTTCCATGGCGCCGCTGTACGCTACGCATCGCTAGGCAGTAGTGTGACTGCTACCAGCACCTCAATAACATCCACTAGCTCGACTCAAAGCACGGAGACGCGAACAAGCTCTACAGCAACAAGGACAACGCGGACCACCAGGACAGGTCATTGAGGTCATTTTTAGGTCATTGAGGTCATGAAGAAATCTGTTAACATTTAAGTATGGCCATAGAAATAGTGAGTTTCCCCATTAAAATTGGTGATTTTCCATAGTTATACATGTGTTAACTATGAGAAATGATGGACTAGAAATTTATGTGCATGTCGCCAACTAAAATGTGTTCTTTTGTTGCAACAGTGAATGTCGCAGCTGTGCCTGAAGCTAGCTTCTTCCTGACAGAGGGATAGACTTCAACTCAAAACTATCCGAATTGGTTAGCGATGCAGGTCTCAAACTACAACCACAAGCACCTCAGCCACTGCTACCTCCAAGACAGCCACTGAAACGACCACAACTCCCGCAAATGATGAAGCACCTTGGACATCATGCTGATTTCTCCTGTGAAGGCTAGCAAAATCTTAGGAAAAGGATCCCTCTGTGAGCGTTGGGATTGATGTAATCGTTTGCAGTACTGCCAGTGGATTGTCACCCACACGCCCTTGACCTGGCATGAAGTTTGAACAGCTGAGGAGCGTGAAAACTTGCGGGTGGTGCAAGCCGAAGCTGCAGTGGAAAAGTTGGATTCGGCAGAAAAGGCCATAGCGGCCATCTGTGGAGACACCAGAATAAACATGGATAACATATATGAACACATGATAACATGACCAATGGACATCATTTTGATATTTGGAGATCAACCATCAACATCCCCAGCTGTCCAGGGTGCTGTACTGAACCTTCTCAGCACTATGGACTTCGGAAACACCAGCGTGACTCGGATGGGGACATTGGTCGCTTGTGACCCTAATCACTGTTTCTACGTTTTGAAGTAAAAAAGATAGGGTCACAAGTGACCAGGTGTGCTCGAAGTCCCACACCTGCCACACGAAAATGGTGCGGCCCCTTTGTGGTCGCCTGTGACCCTATTCGTGCCCGAAGCATGATTTTTGGAGGAAGTCTCGCAGAAAAGCTTCGTTTTTGAGTTTCGTAGCTTCATTTTTGAAGGAAGTCTCGCAGAAAAGCTTCGTTTTTGAGTTTCGCAGCTTCATTTTTGAAGGAAGTCTCGCAGAAAAGCTTCGTTGTAGAGCTTCGAAGCATCATTTTTGAAGGAAGTCTCGCAGAAAAGCGTCGTTTTAGACCTTCGAAGCTTCATTTTTGAAGGAAGTCTCGCAGAAAAGCTTCGTTTTAGAGCTTCGAAGCTTCATTTTTGGAGGAAGTCTCGCAGAAAAGCTTCGTTTAAGGGCTTCGAAGCTTCATTTTTGAAGGAAGTCTCGCAGAAAAGCTTCGTTTAAGGGCTTCGAAGCTAGGTTTTTGAGTTTGGAAGCTTCAGTTTTGAAGGAAGTCTCGTAGAAAAGCTTCGTTTTAGAGCTTCGAAGCTTCATTTTTGAAGGAAGTCTCGCAGAAAAGTTTTTGTGTTTGAGTTTCGAAGCTTCATTTTTGTAGGAAGTCTCGCAGAAAAGCTTCGTTTAAGGGCTTCGAAGCTACATGTCATTTATTTATCTATCTATCTATCTATTTATCTATCTATCTATCTATCTATGTATCTATGTATCTATCTATCTATCTACCTATCTAATTATCTATCTATCTATCTATCTATCTATCTATCTATGTATCTATGTATCTATCTATCTACCTATCTAATTATCTATCTATCTATCTATCTATCTATTTATCTATCTATCTATCTATCTATCTATGTATCTATCTATCTATCTATCTACCTATCTAATTATCTATCTATCAATCTATCAATCTATCAATCTATCAATCTATCAATCAATCTATCTATCTATCTCTATCTATCTATCTATCTATCTATCTATCTATCTATCTATCTATCTCTCTCTATCTATCTATGTATCTATCTATCTATCTACCTATCTAATTATCTATCTATCAATCTATCAATCTATCAATCTATCAATCAATCTATCTCTATCTATCTATCTCTCTCTATCTATCTTGTTATCTTATCTTATCTCATCTTATCTTATCTCATCTTATCTATCTATCTATCTATGTATCTATCTATCTATCTATCTCTATCTATCTATCTCTCTCTATCTATCTTGTTATCTTATCTTATCTCATCTTATCTTATCTTATCTCATGTTATCTTATCTTATCTTATCTTAACTTATTTTATCTTATCTATCTATCTATCTATCTATCTCTCTCTCTCTCTCTCTATCTCTCTATCTATCTATCTCTCTCGCTCTCCCTTTCTATCTTGTTATCGCTGTATCTCTTTACCTCAACTTCTAAAAACGGTCCGAACATGGTGTGTTTTGTACATGTTGACTGTTGACTCTCTCTCTCTCTCTCTCTCTTTCTATCTCTTTATCTCTCTATCTCTCCATCTCAACTGCTAAAGGCGGTCCGAACATGTTGGTTTTTGTGCATGTTGACTTCGAAATGGACGTCACGCCACAACGGCGTGCACAATTTTGTATTTCTCATCTGGGCAGCTGGCTCCGCGCCCGCCGCTGTAGCGAGCTTACTTGTCGACCCTCCGGAGCCACAAGGCATTGGAAAACACTACCTTTTGGCTCCTCTGCATCTTCTTTCTTCTGACTCGTTCTCTTCTCTGATCTGCTCTCTTCTACTCTTCTCTTCTCTCTGCCTCTTCCCATCTCTGCTTTTCATCTGCCCATATTGTCGGAAGTTTGATTTCGAAACTTCCTTCGATAATGCAAAATATATTCACAAAGAAAGTTATACACAGACAAACTCGCGGCCAGACAATTATACAGAAAGTTGCGGCCAACCTTAGCAATCCATGCGTCGGTGATGCACTGAATTTCACCACCATTGACAATGGTATAGTATGATAGTATACTGTTATATCCATGCATGTCCATCTATTTGTCCATTAGGGCATTAGGGCATATCCATTCACATTGTACATGGGTTGTACAAGTCTCGTGACCTTCCAATATGTTGCACTGTGGTGCTCAAGTGATTGCTGAAATCCTGGGAGAAAGATTAGTTTGTGAAGTTCATGCGCGCACTTGCGCTAAAGAACTTTCAAATCGCATGTGCCAAGTTGCAGTCCTCAATTGTGCCAAATTTGGTATTGTGTCGTCCGCAGTGGCATTTTGCCAAGGCAGAAGGTGGGTGCAGCATCACGTAGACAAGAAACATATAGTTACGTATTAGGCTTCAATCTGCTTCATGTCGTATCACCGTAACGAGTCAAGTAATGATGTAAGTACGATGATCCGTCCCCCCTAACCAAACCCTAAATGGCTGAGTCAAGTAATGATGTAAGTAGAATGATCCCTCCGCCCAACCAAACCCTAAATGGCTGAGTCAAGTAATGATCTAAGTTGAATGATCCCTCCCCCCCAACCAAACCCTAAATGGCTGAGTCAAGTAATGATGTAAGTACGATGATCCCTCCCCCTAACCAAACCCTAAATGGCGGAGTCAAGTAATGATGTAAGTAGAATGATCCCTCCCCCCCAACCAAACCCTAAATGGCTGAGTCAAGTAATGATCTAAGTTGAATGATCCCTCCCCCCCACCAAACCCTAAATGGCTGAGTCAAGTAATGATGTAAGTACGATGATCCCTCCCCCCTAACCAAACCCTAAATGGCTGAGTCAAGTAATGATGTAAGTAGAATGATCCCTTCCCCCCAACCAAACCCTAAATGGCTGAGTCAAGTAATGATCTAAGTACAATGATCCCTCCCCCCCAACCAAACCCTAAATGGCTGAGTCAAGTAATGTATAACCCCTCCCCCCCAACCAAACCCTAAATGGCTGAGTCAAGTAATGATCTAAGTTCAATGATCCCTCCCCCCCAACCAAACCCTAAATGGCTGAGTCAAGTAATGATGTAACCCCTCCCCCCCAACCAAACCCTAAATGCCTGAGTCAAGTAATGATCTAAGTTGAATGATCCCTCCCCCCCAACCAACCCTAAATGGCTGAGTCAAGTAATGATGTAAGTAGAATGATCCCTCCCCCCCAACCAAACCCTAAATGGCTGAGTCAAGTAATGATCTAAGTTCAATGTTCCCTCCCCCCCAACCAAACCCTAAATGGCTGAGTCAAGTAATGATCTAAGTTCAATGATCCCTCCCCCCCAACCAAACCCTAAATGGCTGAGTCAAGTAATGATCTCCCAACCAAACCCTAAATGGCTGAGTCAAGTAATGATGTAAGTACGATGATCCCTCCCCCCTAACCAAACCCTAAATGGCTGAGTCAAGTAATGATGTAAGTTGAATGATCCCTCCCCCCCAACCAAACCCTAAATGGCTGAGTCAAGTAATGATGTAAGTAGAATGATCCCTCCCCCCCAACCAAACCCTAAATGGCTGAGTCAAGTAATGATCTAAGTTGAATGATCCCTCCCCCCCAACCAAACCCTAAATGGCTGAGTCAAGTAATGATGTAAGTAGAATGATCCCTCCCCCCAACCAAACAATTGCATGGTGGAGAGTTTTTAAAGGAGACAATTGCATGGTGGAACGCAGGGGGGGTGAGAGTTTTTAAAGGAATAGGGTCGCAAGTGACCGTTTTTTAGGGTCGCAAGTGACCGGGGATTTTAGGGTCACAAGTGACCGTTTTTTAGGGTCGCAAGTGACCATGGACCCATAGTTAAGCACTTATATTACCATATTATATATATATATATATACACATAAATTTGACTCGACTCTCGCATGAACTCAGAGGTCCATAATGACACAGCCCCGGACTCTGGTGGTGGGGTCAGTGCATTTGAAACTATGATGACTGAATATCACATATATTTGACAAAGGTAAAGATTCAGCTTCCATCCTTGGTCCTAAGCTCCAAAGGTCTGCAATTGGAGGCACGCGCAGACAACACGGCTGCGCTGGGTGGATCTTTTGCAGCCTCCCAGGCGGATGGGGATGGGTAGTGTCTAAAAATTGTAGGCTAATCAGCCAACAGGGAAATTTAATGAGAATATCTAATTGAATAATGAGATGTTTATGGGATTTCATTAGGTATTTTCAATGTCCCGACTTAGGTAGGTTATCACAGAGTTCATTAGATCTAGTAGGGTGTCATCAGCTAAAAAGGTGGCTTTAACTGGTTTAACCAAGAAATAATGGATGTGTTTGATGCACCCAATACATCCCAATACTTGATAGTTAACACTATTTCATTGATTTTCCCAATTGCAATGGCATAAAATTGCCACAGAAAATAGTTCCCCACTTTCAGACAGACTTATATTTTTGGGGTATGCGGGTAGCCGGGAAAAATACATAAAACGGGATGTTACCAGACATTTTTCGAAGTGCTGAAGATTACTTGACAGTTTATACAATGTTATAAGGATTGCTTGTGTATATTAAAAGGATCTCACGAAGGGCTAGGCATGACCAACAGCGGTGGGTCACGTGTTGAGTTTTGATCCGCACTTTGCATATTTGATCCTTTTTTCGGTGATTTGTCAATGTGGGTACTGTATCACCATGCAGACTCGAAGTGATTAGGTTCATCCTTGTCCTCTGATCCTTTTCAGCATCATGGCTTCCAGGGGCACCATCTCGGTATCCATTTGGGGGGCTCTACCCAAAAACAAACTCAATCAAGGAGGATTTTCTGTTAATCATTGGGTTTACCCTCGAGAAAAACGAACGGAGCTATAGAAACTGGCCCATTTCTAATAGGTAAATCAACTAATTATAAATGGGCCATGTTCAATAGCTGAGATCCTCAATTTATAGCGGATTTTCCCTGTAAACCTCCAAACTTCTCCTTTTTTCATCTTTTTTTGGGGATTTTCCAGCCATGTTTGATGACACCAGAGGGTAGCCCCCCTGAAACTCCCAAGATTTCCCCAGCGCCAGGTGAACGGAACTGTTGAAGTGGTGAGTGCAGAGGAGTGCCAGGCCTCCGGAACACTCTGGTTGCTGAAATTGATGATAACCTTCCATACCGATGGATTCGTTGATTGGTATGACGATAGTGATTTAGTTGAACGTATTGAACAGATGAGTCATATGAATTTATGAGTTAAATTTGCCTAAATGTATTGGAAAGGTTAGTCATATGAATTATGAGTTGAATTTGCCTACATTGAAGTTGCTTCAATGTCTTTCGTTTCTGTATATGAGGCCTCATATACTGTACTTTGTTCCTGAAAAACTTGATGGGTTCAACCACCTTTGATCCACCTTTTGCTCAGGACATGGAAGGTGCCCGGCTGAGGGGGGGTACCTTTAAAAAAGACATCAGCAGGAGAATGACGCGTGAGCCGATCTTAGATATAAGATATATATAAGGCATATCAAGGCCTATTATTGGACCATGATTAATAATAAATGATAATATTTGTATGTATATATGAATATGTATATATAGGATATATATATATATTATGTATGTATGTATAACCCAGGATAGGCTAATCCATTAGATTTGAGATTATCATGATTACAGTATCGATAATGATGATTCATACGTGCATCGATCATGTTCCATACTTGTATCGATCAATACCATACTTAGTGATACTTATGCATGATAACCCATGAGTCAATCCATGATTTGAATTGAGTTGTCCACATTTAGTCTAGCAATGCTTCTCAAAACACATGATTGTGTATGATGATTTCTTTTCATTGAGCGATCATTCATCATCAGTGGTTCCAAAATTCGTTCTCGGATAGTTTGGTGGTTTTCATTGTGGTCCGCACCAGCGTCATCAGCATCATCATTGCAAAGATGCAAATAGAGTAACTTTAAGTTGTTTTGTAGAATCTGCATCACCATCATCGTAGTTTGAAGTCGGATCAAGAATCATCATCAGCAGCAAGAGGAAAAGGAGTAGCAGTAGCAGTAGGTAGCAGTTGTTGTAGTCGTCGTAGTCGTAGTCGTGGTGGGGGAGTAGTAGTAGCCGCATGTAGCTGCAGCAGCAGCAAGCAAGTTTTCCAGCAAAACAAGAGACATGTCCAGATCTCCATGACACACCAAATCCACAAGGTAGAGACACAGAGAGCAACCTAGACTCGAGAGAGAGAGAGAGAGAGATACAGAGAGAAGCAGTTCGGCAAGGTGGTACAAGCCATGAAATTCTGAAACAAGAAGGGAACTCAAAAGAAACAGAGACACAACAGCCAAAGCGACGAGGCATCGAGGTGGAGGATGTGCCCCAAAGTTGCGAGAAGGTTGAGAACCAGAGGCGCCGTGGATGGGATGGGAGTTTTTTTTTGCACGGCCCGGGTCACACCTACTGCTCATTTTACGAGGCTTCTTGATGCTTCTTGGGGGGGTCCCACTAATTTGACCCAACCCTAACAACCAGCAACATTGGGGAGACAAGGTAATCATCCTGAATCAGTTTTTTTTTTTTTAAACTATATATATATATATAGATTTGTCCCATTAGCAATGCTTTTCACCATGTTTTACCCTTTTGACTTTGTGGGCCTTGGATGATTTGGATCTCAATGGGCAGGTTTGAGGACTCGAAAGTGGTCGCCTCGGCAATGTCTGGCCGACCATGGCCGGGTAGATCTAGTATGTGAGCCGTAATCTTCCGAGAGGGTTAAACCATGTTAACCATGTTAAAACCCGTTCCTGCTTCGCAAGTGGGGGACTGCGAAGCAAACATCACGTTGCCTCAGGTTGGTAGATTATGCATTGTTGATATCCCCAAGTACCCCAATACAACAATATATATATATATATATATGTATGTATATTATATATTATATACAATATATATATTATATTATATTATATTATATTATATTATATATATTATATATATTATATATATTATATATATATTATATACAATATATATATATATATTATATTATATTATATTATATTATATTATATTATATATATTATATATATTATATATATTATATATATTATATATATTATATATATTATATATTATATATATATTATGTATATATAATATATATATATACATATTATATATATTATTCATATTGTATATATATTATATATATATTATTATATATATATATTTTTTATATTATGTATATTATATTTATTATATATATATTATATTTCTTATCTCTCTCTTCATCTCTCGATTCCATTACATACACCATAAACACTACATTATATACATTACATTGCACTACATACCATATCATACAATACAGTACAATACAACTACAACTACAATACAACTACAAATACAAAATAACAATACAACACATACGTGCATATATATATAATATGGGTTTGTCCCAAAACAGGCCGCCGCCAATCTCAAGACATTACCATCATTTTGTCATTACTGCCATGTGTTAGTACTTTTTCTGGCTACCCGCAACTTTCAGAATATGCAATTTTTTGCATGAATACAATCATATATATATTGTACAATGTATAATATGATATATATATACAGAGAGAGATAGATATTTAGATACATTTAGATATAGATATCTCTGTGCATAGTGATATTGTGGTCAAGTTGTATTATCCCAGGGATGATATCCCCAGTCTTCCCTTTGGCTAAGGCTGATCCAAATCCTGCGAACGGGAAGCTGAATTGTGATCACCTTGGACGAGATGGGAGTTTTTGTGGGAGCGTGATGGTTAAGCATGAGAAATTCTATGGGAAATTCTATGAAGGGCATCCTAGTTTAGCATTATGGTAACTGCTAAAAACTGCTAGTTGCCATAGTTGAAACTTTCATGTTTCAGGTGAATCAACATCCATCAATTTGTAGATGGTTTTCCCCATGCAAATTCGGGGTTCCCAGGATTGGCTCAGATAGAGCACAAAGCTTCCCAGTTGTTTTACTGACGCAGACCATGAAATGTGCGATCAAAGGGCATTTCTCTGTTGTCACTGGATCGGTAGGGCACTACAGGAAACCATGGGTTTTTGCCATGAAATATGGGGTTTTCCTGTAACTGTTTCCCTTCAATACCAATCCATTGACTCCGGTTTCCAAACACGGACCAGGCTGCTGTTGTCCCATGAAACATGATCAAACATGGACAGTTCAAGGCAATCGGCCCCCTCGACGCCGGCGCTGCAACAAGGTTTGGGGCCCGGCTTGCAGCGAGTTTCATCCCCTATATGTGTTGAATATTCAAAAACCAGCCAAAGAATGCAGGGTATCCAGGATCGCCAATGCATAATATAGACCAAAATGAATAGATGCAAGATGATGCACGGCTAAAGTAGGTAGGTTCCTTCTTTTGGGTAGTTTGGGGTAGTGTTTTTTAAAAGTGGGATGGGATTGATCAAATCGAAGCATCAGCAAGGGTGCAAGGGTGTATTTTAACCATATTTGATGGTCAGTACATCGCTTAGGCCTACGTTTTGGCTCGCTTGGGCCTACGTCACAAATAAGATATATTATATCGATATATTCGAACATGATTTCGATAGACTTGCACAAGTGGATTAAAGATGATTATCGGGACATTCTGTATCTCAAGAAGGCCCCGGTTGCCCTGTCTCCAGATCGTTAACAGGAAAGGATCTTGTATTGTCCCCGCTGTCCCCAGTCCCCCTGTACCTCTAGTAGTCCCCACATGTCCACACTGTCCCAAGTCCCCATGTGATCCGTTTTGTAGCTGTTTCCGTGTCTATGCAATGCTTGGAGTGTATATGTATGTGCCTGTAGATCACTTAATTCATTTCATCCACTGCGCCACTCCGTGGCTCAAGACATGGTAGCATAGCTCGATTAAAAAAGACGCGCTGCTGCTCTTCGGTGTGACTCGTTGGTGTTACGTCTTAGACGATCTAACTCATATTGGAGTCCATTGGCTACACACCTTTAGGGTTTATATTTAGGGGGAAACTGGGGACAGCGGGAACAACTAGAAGTACAGGACACGACCTAAATCATATTGGACCTTTAGGGTTTACATTCGGGGGGGAACTCGGGACTGGGGTGAGGTAGCACTCCCCCGTTTTAGGGGCCCTGGATGCAGTCCTCCTGTGGACCCGGGGTCCGAATCATCAAGGGAACCGGTTCATCGGTTGCGCCTTGGTGCGAGGCGTCGCTGCTTGCGCGGGCAGGCAAAATGCAAGCCCTGCCCCGGCCTCAGTTATGTCTAAAGTCTCGTTGTTCTTCAGTATAAATCTATTATTTGAAGATTTATTCGAACCATTTCAAGACAATGTTCCATTGAAATGGTTAGTAATCAAAATAGCGGTTTGCTAGCCATTTTTACACCAACCTCTACCAACTATCCGTTAGCTGAGCTTGGCTTCTTCAGGCCGTTGCAGCAGTCCTACCTGACCATGGGCGGCCGACAGAAGGTGCCCGCCCTGATCGGGCTGGGATGGGCTTCCTGTGGATGGGAAATCCACCAGATGGAAACTAAAACATGGGAGAATCATGGGATAAGATTGTTGGATTTTTTTTGGGATATAATCCAACATGTCGTTTCCAATTGGGATGGTAATGGGATAATAATAATAATAATAGTGAGTAAACTTCCAGCCTATTGTAGTCCAATTACTATAGATACTTCTGCACCAGTTAATCCACGGTTGATTTAACTATAAGACACTGAGTATAAATAATAGATTAATAGGATCTTAATGGGATAAACTACCATCTACCAACAGGTGCAGGATTTCGCAACCATCCACAGTATTGTGGGAAAATCAGACATGGTACAGTATGGGGAGTTACGCAGGAAAAATGCGGAAAAATATGTAAAAATCTTGGATCTAATATGATCTGGTTATGGATGATGTAATTATATGATAATTGTGAGGTAAATCCAAGAATAAATGGTACATTGTGGTTAAAAAGTGGGATACTTAGGTGATAATTATTGGAACAAATTGGGATGATCGTGATAAAGCATGACAAAACCATCCCCAATGTTACGACATGGGGCTTAAAAATGGCGAAAATGGGGTGTCCGTTGTCCTAAGTAGAAGCTAAGCCGTTGTAATTGGTCGTAAACCATCTCAAGAATGCAATCATCAATCTTGTCATGCAACGAATCTTGTGGGGCATCTCATGCCCATGTTTGCCACGTCAAGTTGTGCGGGAATGATTCTGAGGCCTTGTTAAAGGGAAATCCCAAGGTATTTCCAAGCCATGGTCTGCTGAGGAGCACACCGAGAGCGGCCATTCGTTTCGGTTGGTGATATGTTTCCTAACAAATTCGAACCCCTGAGCCACACAGAAATCAGTGATTGTGGTACTATGATGGCTCATATTCCCGGATTCCCTATGCGGGTGTCAGAATGTGTGTGTTATTCCAGGCCTTGTTTGGGGGCTCAATTTGGAACTGTGAAAATTGTTGGAACAGGAAACGTATCGAACATATATCCCCCAAAAAATGCATTTGTTTTCAGATGATCTGTATTTTTCCACTTTGACCCAGCCAGTTTTCAACCTGTGTTTCTGATTGGAAATGCCCTCTGGTTATGACTAACATAGCCATGGTATAGATGTCCCATAGAAATAGATGGTTTACCTATTAAAAATGGTGATTTTCCATGGCTATGTTAAATAACCAGATGTTTGTTTACAGACTCCAAGTTCTCGTCGCAATTCGGCAGGTGGCAACTCGACGCCGATGGTTCCAGGTGCAATCTCAACACCAGAAATGGCAGGGGCTACTATATTGGGTCCATAACCCAATATATTTCAATATATTCAATATATTCAATATATTCTATATATATATATATTTCATATTGAACATATAGAATATTTGGATTTTAACCAACAGAAAACTGGGGATTTCATCATCAAAGATGGGGATTTCATCAGCGAAAAGTGGGGATGACCCAAAATTTCACCAAATGATGGTGAATGTAAGGGGAATCATCCCGATATGTCCTTCTTGAAAAGGAGATAGATAGATAGATAGACAGACAGATGGATAGATAGATAGATAGATAGGTAGATAGATATAAAAGATATAGATAGATATAAAAGATATAGATAGATATAAAAGATATAGATAGATATAAAAGATATAGATATAACAGATATAGATAGATAGATAGATAGATATAGATATAACAGATATAGATAGATAGATAGATAGATAGATAGATAGATATAAAAAATATAGATAGATATAAAAATATAGATAGATATAAAAGATATAGATAGATATAAAAGATATAGATAGATATAAAAGATATAAAAGATATAGATAGATATAAAAGATATAGATAGATAGATAGATAGATAGATAAAGCTAGATATAGATAGACATAGATAGATAGATTAGATTAGATTAGATTAGATATATATATATATATAGATATATAGAAAGATCGATAGATAGATAGATAGATAGAAAGATAGAGAGATAGATAGGTAGATAGATAGGTAGATCTGATAGATTAGGTAGATACATAGACAGATAGATACATAGATTAGATAGATACATAAATTAGATAGATAGATAGATAGATAGATAGATAGATAGCTAAATAAATAAAAATTAGTAGATAAGACAGACAGACAGACAGACAGAAAGACAGACAGAGAGACAGACAGACAGATAGATTTCATGTTAATTACATTACTATATCTTACACTTTTGGAGGTTGTAAAACACGTATATCCACCTTTTGGCTGTTTTATTCACGTCGCTTCGCGACGGCAACCGCCCGCACCGCATCGTTGGGCAGCCGCTCGTAACTGCCAATGATGTCGGCCATTGAGACCAAAAACATCCGAAAGTACTGATTGTCGGAAAAAAAACGCGAAGAATTTGATAGCCATGTATAGCGGACCAACGCAATTCAAAAAATAACGAAAAACATGAAAAAAACGGCGAAATTGCTGTTATTTACAGTGTTTTTGCGCGGTGAGAAGCAGAAACCACTGCAAATACCATGGTTTTTGAGGGTCAGGTGGCCAAAAACACTGTAATTTACAGTGTTTTTTTTAACCAACGTCAAAAAACACTGGTATTTACGATGTTTTCATTCACACCGTAACATAAAACAGCGTAATTTACGAGGTTTTTGGAAGTTTTGAAGCTAGCCGTCAAGCATGCAGAAAACAGAAAAGCACTGTAAAAACCAGTGTTTCTGCTATCACAAAACGACGAAAATCAGTCCGAAAACGGGTCCAAAAACTCAAAAATCCGCCTCCGGCCCAGGCCACCTGCGGAACCGCAAAAAAAGATGTTGCAAACAAACAAATTGAGGTCAAAAAGTTGAAAAACACGGGGTTTTTTCACTTTTCGCTTGCCGATTTTGGACGGGCGCGTTCACGAACAGGTGTCTTCCGTACTGTTTTTTACAGTGTTTTTTGAAGGCGAGCGTCACGACCTATCAAAAACAGGAGGTTTTGGCCGAAAAATGCCCCCCCCCCCCCAGGTAAACCTGTAACCTTTTACGAGTGCCATCCGGACGATCACGCCCCAGCACCTTCGGTGCGGGCGGATTTCATGGTAATGTTCCAGGAGGTACCTAACATGTGGAGACAATCACCAACCGCCACGCGTTGCACGGGTGAATTCCGGACATCCAGTGGTCCGCTGTGATGATTTTGGTGGCCACCTTAAGCATCAGCCAGAACCTTGCTTTGGAGGAGGGAATTCCAGTAATTTTGGAGGACATTTACAGAAACCACTAGAAACCCCTTTATGTAAGAGTAAAAATGAGATGCTTCGAGCGATCATGACCACCAACTGACATTCTATCTGACATGGTCTGCAGGGCGGAGCCAAGAGAACACAAAATCTAGAGACCCGCATCTGGTGGGGAATCTTGGTTTCCCATAGAGTTTCCCATAGAAATCATCTATTGAAAAAGTGGCATGTCATTGGCTTTCAATAGTCCTGCCATGTCCTGCCCTCACATCAGCGCAGGCGCGCAAGAAGTCGGCGCGGGAACTCGGTGGATGTTGATTTGGCTATTTGTTCGACTTCCTCGTCGCTTCTTCTTGAGGCAATGATACAGGTGACATCAGTGACATCTTATGTATAGATATATTTTAATATATTCATATGTGCAGACACGACACAGTTTTTTAAATACACAGGACACATGCATTTTTTGAATATAATATGTACACTTAAGTCCCTTCATTCCTTTTTGGTTGCGGTTTCACAGTTTGAATGGTGGTCATGGTGGTCCAAAATCAGCTGGCTTCTGAACGGGTCTTGAGTCAGCATTAATTTCTTTATATATTTTTATGTAAGATTTGACATTCCACAAAAGATCACAATGAGATCCTAAACATGTCCCAACTCAACAGAGTGCTGAAATTATTTTGCAGTTCGGGGTCCAAAAAAATTGAACCACCTGAGTTGTTTTTCGCTCAGGTGCGCACACTGAAGGCCACAAACATCGTAAAGTGCAACGGGACAGCGCTCTAGGAGCGGCTGTGCAATGGAAAGGTAACCCAACCTGGCAATAGAGAAGTTTCATATTCCATATGTAGTGTGACATAGTGTGACTATATATATATTTACAGTATATAATTATATATATATATACAGTATATAATTATATATAAATATATATATATATATGTATATATCCACACATTAAAATCAAATTCATGGGTAGTTTCCATTTGCCATGATTGCCAGAGGGTTTTTTAGGGCTTCGAATTCTGGGTGCCAATGATCCCAAGTCTTGATCTGGATCTTGCATCCTTTAAGATTCAAGGCAGAAATCCAGAAAACTTGAGGGATTTTAGATGATTTTATTGAGATTTTAGGGCCTTTAGGCTATTGATTTTAAGATATTTTAAGTTGATGAATGTTGATGGCAAGCCTAAACAGTGACTGATGCTCCACTAGTTCGCTGCACACCACATGGCGGCTAATTCTACTTGCAAATGCATCGACAAGCAAAGTCATTGCTGGCGAACGCGGGTTATAAAACTGGTTACAACTTGGCATGTGCTGAGGGAAATGATAAACCAAGACTCTCACAAGCTTGGATTTTGGATGGATACTTCGGAAACAACTCACCATTCCTCGGATTTGTTCCAGGGTTTAGCCGCAACACATGACCATCATGACCCCGCTGACCGGAGGACAGGATCAAAGCTTGATCAAGGGCCGCGCCGTGTGAGTGCCGCAAGTCCCATGAAATGGGAGCGGTGCCAAATCCTTTGCTGATCACGGCCGGTGGAAGGTTGATGATCTTAGAGCAGGTTCGATTCGGGGTTTCATCACTTACTGTGAACAAAAACACAAATGGTTTGAAAGCGATCACCATCAGAACTTATACCTCAAACTCCAAGGTTTTGCCGCCTTTTCGTGTGCCAGCTATTAAGGTGCTTCTGCTATTTGAAAAAACTTGCTGGACCCCGATGATGTGGGCCTTTCTGTGGTTACAAGGCCTTCAGGTTTTGCCAGTTTCCGGCCCAACTTTTGGACAGAGTTGCGGCCTGCAGTCCACCCACCACCTATTGCCTGATTTTGGCTCTCCGCTGAAGGTCTCAAAGACTTGATTTAAGCGTGATAGGCCCTGATAGGCCACCATTGGTTTATGAGACCCCAGAATCATGCGAAATCATGGTTGGTCCTGATGAATGATGACTGCTAGTCAGTCTTTAGTTGTTTTCTTTGGGGGAGTGGTTGTCCAACAACTTTTTCTTGGATACAAAACCACCTGAGGATTGCCGGACATGTCTATTTTTGCAGGAAATGTCGACCCCGGAGGAGTGAACATGAACAATTAATCTGGATAATTAACTCTATTGATTGGAGAGGTTACCCTCAAAAACTAGTCATAAATCACTCATTGGTAAACTGTTGGTTTCTTAATCCTAGGTGAAGATATGTGAAGATTACCCATTTCGTGACTAAAAATGCTTCGCTGTGACGGTGACCACTGGTCTTTGAGACTGGAGAGTCTTTTACACCTGTGTGCTGCGCAGCTGATGAAGGTTGGAAGCGGAATCTTATTTCAACAAACCGAAGGAACACTCAATCCACTCTGGTTGGTGATTTCAACGGGGAGGATCAAACAGATAACACAATGTTTTGTTGTTTTTGTTGCTGGTTTTTAGCCTTTTTCAGTTTGTTTCGCCCCATTTGTAACTGAGATGATGTGGTTGCACTTTGAGATTTTGGGTTTAGGACCTCCAACTGTCATGGTTTCTCCCACCGCGAGCTACTTCCAGTGGGCGCGCAGATGTGCAGAATGCCCAACCGAAATTCCGCTGACTATCATCAGTTAATAGGCCGCTCGAGCTGTGAAGTTTTGGTGTAGGCGCTGAAAATCGCTGAAACACGTGAGCTCAGAAAGAAACACAGTCTAAGGAGCCAGCAGTGTTGGCAGTAAATTTTGGATATTCACTGACTATCACTGCATTATTTGACACGAGTCAACTCTACAGAAGATGCAAATGAACTGACTCTTGTTTTGTCATGTTTTGTCATGTTTTGTCTAGTGCTGGAAAGTGCCACTTCGATTGGTAGCGTGGCAGCACTGACTCAACTGACGGAAATATGCTATGGCCACAAGGCAGCACCAGGCCGTGTCCGTTGGGCACCAGTTTTGAGCAGCCTCGGTGTGAGTCGTCTCGCCGGCGCTTCGGCACTTCGGTGCCGAGACGGCCGTGAATCAGGAAAGCCTCGGACGTTGTGTAACTGGCTATGGCTCAAAATGATCGAAATGATGGCCCCCAAGTTGGGGCAAATTCCAGACCCAGGATATCATGAAGGATATGAAGGCAGGTGGGGCCGCATAAATTCAATGCCCCATGTTTGAGCCATATCCTGATTATGACTGTTTGCAACTTAGTGCATATCTAGTACAAAACAGGCACACCATGCTTAAATACAATAGAAATACTAGGAACATGATTAATCAAACACGCGTCGGCATGTGACTTCAAGACGAAATTGTAACCAAGTATAGTTTCCTGCCACGTTTGTCACTCAGGACAGGCAGATTGTGCCAATGTGTGCTTCCAAGTTCGTGCTTTCAAAAGCCAAGATTGCTGAGATTTCTATGGCTTCTTCTGCTGGATTGAAGCAGCTGTGCCAATGTTCAACCGGGTCATTCGCGCCGCCACAAGTTTCCAGCCGTGCAGTAGCATGCATCATGCTCCAGCCACGTTTCCATTGATGGCGGTATGAATGCCCGACCTGGGGTATTCCTGCAAAATTGCATAATTTGCAAAGCTACGGTAGCTGCGAAAGGGACTAATGTTGCCATCCACTGTTGGATTATGTATGATTATGTACTTCGATGTGTGTGATTTTCATGGCCGGCCGGTTTCATTTATCATTTATCTAGATTCTAGATGATTATCATTATTTTATCATGATTATTTTATAAGTATATGTTCAGATGTTTCATGGTTTCTCAAATTGGACAGAGGGAGGTACATTAGAGTTTTGCTATAAATCCAAGATATAGATCATATAAATCATACATATGTATATATATAATTATAACTATATGCTAATATATGCTAATTGTCTACTGTATATTTAATGTATATGACTGATGCATTGCACAGTCAAGTCTTCACACCTCATACCATTCCATATCACATTCCCAGCTCCCGCAGTGAGCGTGCACGGCAAGGAGGCTTTTGCTTCCTAAGCATTGTGACAGTCGCCCGCCGTCGCAACTGATCATCCGATTTGCCTGATGTCTGTGTCGCGTTTTCCGGCGGCCTTGTGATGGGCGAACAAACAACGATCTTCGTGCTCACGTCCGTGGTACGGTTGACCATGGTTGACCATTATTTTGTTGGACAAGTGGATTCTGGAAAAACATGGGGGAACCCGGTTGCCCACATTACCCCAACAAGAGACGATTCAAATCAATACTTGCAAGAAAGAAGGTGAGCTGGGTTCCTCTTGCGATTGTGCCCTACCGCGGACAAAGGTGAGATGTCCATTTCGGCATGGACCTCCAATGAACGCCAAGCGCCTGCACTGCCCCACTGGTGTGACTGTTTTGACGGGGCCAGTGCGACAGGCGTTCGGTGTGACCTTCTGCAAGTGCTCATAACCCAAGATTTTGCTGTACGTATGATAATTATGGCTACGGGTCATTTTGGGCCCAAAACTCTTCACCGGCCAAGCAGCAGATGATGGTGATGTTTCGTACCAAGATGTACCAAGGCACAAGTAGCAGACAACGGGGTGCTGGCAAGCCCCTCCCCATTATCACCGACGCATCCCCCTGATGTTTCTTGATGATATTAATCGATCTTGAACATACTATAGTTATCTACATATAGTTATCTATAGTTTGTGTGGTGGCCGAAGAAGACTCCGTATGAGTAGCTTGGTTGTGCTTGGTCCCACGGTCATGACGTTTGCACAGATGATCCCGGCTATACCATCGACTTGAAGACGCAAAACTAATGGAGGCTTCCCAAGTCCCAAGCTAAAGGCATTTCAGAACTTTGGCAGGAAGGCTTCTTGAAGAATGATAACAATGGTTTCAAGTTCAGAGTGTGAGGCCTTATGATACTTCAATGGCAGTAGTGAAGGGAACAAATGCCACGACTGATCAGAAGCCTCTCATATCCCTCAAGAGAACCTAGGAGGCTCTCAATACAGGCTGTTGTGACTGCTTTTGATCCATGATTGATCCATGGTGTTTGCATAACTATTGTCCATTAGATTTCATGACCGCTTGCAGAAGTCCGAGAAGTGTCCATCACGGCTGGGGCCTCGTAAAACGCGCAACTGGGAACTGATCATGGCTTCCAGTGAGGCCTCCACCCAAACAGCAAAAGACTCACACGACATTCTCAAGCCACCCCGCTGGCACGATAAGGCAATTTCTACGAGAATGTATTGGTGCCCTGGCCTCCTTATTGACTGGCATTCTGCATTGTGGGGTAACCTTAGCTGCCTTAGCTCACCAGCTTCGTAATGGGTTCACCCATGGTTCACCCCTGGCGGGGGATAACCGAAGCATACCGAAGCCATGTCTTAGCACACCGAAGCATTCCCCATGGAATCGCTATGCGAGGCTCCTCGCCGCGGTTTCCAGCTGGACTGTGTCGAAATTCTGGTGTCACGCCATAGCACCACCTGGTTGGCAAAGAACTCCCAAAACCCCCCAAAAGACAAACAAAGAAGGACCTATCGTCAAGGTGGTCGCGCCCCAAAAGGCCTGCAGCTTGCCTGGGTGTGGACCACTGGGGTTAGGAGGCTGTGGTTGGAGGCCCAGGTTTTGGTCATGGACAATTTTGCTTGATGCCTGGAAAAGACAGCAATAATGCGAAATGAACTCATATCTTCCGCACATCTTAGCACCTTGGTCTGAGTTTCAGGTCATTGAAACAGTCAACCCATCATGCTACCCTCAATTTGTTAAAGCCAGAGGGGCCAACCAGCACTTTGTGGTTTCAAGTTGTATCCATCTGGCAAGAGCGACCCCGAGTGATGAATCTGCAGCGTTGCTCAAGAAGCTGGAAGTCGACACGACTTCCACGGGACGCTTGCAGCCGCAGCCCTTTTGGGAGCAGTAGATAGGCATCAACATATCAACAACATCGAAGAATTTCATGTGAAGAACATCACAGAACATTTATCCACTCAGTTCTATGAATTCGCCATTGTTGAAGCATGTTGAAGCAACCACAACAAATTCTGGGTCACTCACCTCATCTTCGCATATCTTCGCAGTTTTACCACAGTTACAACAGATTGAAGGGTGAAGGACGGTGAAGGACGGCCACACTGCTGCCTGGAAAATGTGGCGTGCCCTGTTCAACGGCATTTCGATGCCCGTTTGGGGCCCAGCTCTGGGGGCTGGGGTCCAGGATGGTCTAGGAGTCATTCGGAGTCTAAGCGTAAACACGTTTGTTTAGAGTCTAGATGATTCAGTTCAAAGATCCTTTATAATTACAAGTTTTTACATTGTAGATAGGCAAATCGATGGATAGATAGGTATATAGACAGACTGATAGATCGATAGATTGACAGATAGATAGTGCCAGTGCCAGCAGTGCCAGCAGTGCCAGCAGTGCCATCGTCTACAGGAACTGGTGGTTGCTGCCGGAGTGGGTGTGGCAGGCGGAGTTTATGCCTTCTACCCAGCTATTGAGGACGACAGTGGATGGGGCAACTCATGGCTCGAATTTTCAGCACCTGGTTTTATCGGATAGGGTTCTATGAATTTTCAGCATCATATAATTCATAAAGTAAAGTATAGCATCATACGGATTCATGCGGTCATGGAATGTCATGGAAAAGGTATAGACTTAAATCATCCCATTTCGGGGTACCCATGGGTACCCCATTTTGACCTAAATCCCTATGACTTGAATCTTGAACTCATCCCTTGGTTCGTGTTCAATTAATACGTAGCTTGGAAGGATATCCTTCCATTCTATACTGTACCATGACGGGATATTGTTGTGAATGCTTTCGAAGCATCAAGGCACAAGCGCCGTCAGTGATGAGTTGATCGATACCGCTATGTCGCGGGCCAGGAATTTAACCGACGTCAACAAGCGGTGTTGCAGGAACGAGAGCAACACCGACGGCGAGAGGAAGGCTATGGGAACAAGAGTTTTCAACGCATGAACATGGACGTGCATGGACCTTTGGGTCGCAAATAGTAATCCCCCAAGTCTCCAAGTCAATGGGTCTAACTTATATATATATATGTAACATTTCTATTAAATATATACAGATTATATACATACATCCGAGTACGATGTTTTTTTTGGTATACCAAATCAAACTTAATATCACTATCAATTTCATTATCCACGTTCCAATATTATATATATATGGGGGTTTCCTTAAATGGGGTACCCCTAAATCATCCATTTTAGATTGGGATTTCCACTATATACCATCCAGCCATTGGGGTACCTCCATTTATGGAAACTTCGTTGAAATCCTGGCCAGGTGATGGTGATGCGCCCGCCAGCCAGGCAGGGCCAATGTTCGCGATTAATAGGCCAATTGACAGTGACAAGGAGAGAGGGGACCATGCCAAAAATAAGGATGGACACATGGCAACGGAGAGAGACATGTATGTATGTGTATATATATAATATATATATATATGCATTTGTATATATATATCTCTCTCTCTCTCTCTCTCCCTCTCTCTCTCGCTCTGTGTTTTTAAACCACCGTAGATGCGATAGATGCCAGTGCAATGCCCGTGAAATCGTCTCTGGAAACGACAGGTGGGGCAGGCAGCAACAAAGTCTGACAGGAAGTCCTGATGCGGAGCTTGAAAAAAGAACTGCTTTGATGATCCAAAAGCTTGGGAATCCCCAAACTGCTTGGTGCTTTCACACACACAGTGTATGATTTTCAACCCTATTTGGAGATGATCGCAAGTGACTTTCATTATTTTCAAACCGGAGAGGGATGATCTCTAACGGACAAACTCTATAGTGGTTATTGCAACATATTGCGACCGCCATTGGGAAAACATCCATTTACTATGCCAGGTCAGCATGCGGTACTCCAAAAATGCAACATGCAGACCTCAAATATCCCAAAGAAGCTGGAAGAGCTTTGCAAATGATTTGACATGGCCATGTCTTTGGCTTGGTTGCAATTTCTGACCGGGGAGCAATTGTTTGCTACTGTGTGTGTGCTTGCCGAGTCAGTGCTCGTCCACTGTGGAAACATCACTTTGAAAGACCGCATGTATTTGGCTAATGTCACATGATGATTCAATATTATCTGGTTGGTGGTTTGGAACATTTTTTATTTTCCCCAATAGTTGGGATGATGATCCAACCTGACTAATATTTTTCAGAGGGGTTGAAACCACCAACCAGTTATTGATGTGAAAAAAATGATTCCGTTTCCTAGCCTTAGGGCAAGCCACTCGAGGGCGAGGAAACACTATTGTACTTATTGTGGATGGGGTAGGCCCGGCCAAAAATTGTTGTGGAAGGTCGGCTCAATGATGGGGAACTTGTTGGAATCAGCCAATCAGCCCGGCACCCCACTACATTTGCTGCCTTAACCTGGATGGATTAGTTGAGGCACTTGGGAAACCTTGGATGGCTAGTTTGTGCAGCAGGATTTTTCAATAGAGTTCTATATATGTTCTAGCCCGCGATTCGTTTTTTGCAGGCCAAGATAGGCCATACCACACTTTAAAAACATCAGGAACTGATTTTTGGCCGGCTTGTTTTAGCAGAGTGACTGGTGGGGCACCTCTTTGATTTTCAGCCCGAGTCTAGCCGATTTGGCTCAACCTTTCAGGGTCGATTTGCACACGAACCACAGGCCCGGGGCCCGGCGTTGACGCAATAGTCATCCGCTTGAGGGTTACCGAGTCCTTCCGTGCATCACATTTTGCTGCGAGGCTGAGGGCCGAGGGGCGGGTGGGTGGGTATGTTTTGTTGGAATGTGATGTGAGGCGCATGTCGCGCATGGATATTTTGTCTGCCAAGTACGGAAAAATGTAGCAATGAATCAAACCAAGAAACACAGAAAAAGTTACTACACATCTACAGTAAGCATGTAGTACATACATACATAATCATACATATGCAATTAGGCAACTTCATAGATTTCATAGGCACGCGGCACGTAGATAAGTGATATATATAAGTGAATTGGGAAAGTGAAGTTTGCTTGGAATGCTCTGACTGCTCTAAGATGTTGGGAACTCTCACCATCCACTGTGGAACCAGATCAAGCAATATGTTTACAGGTATCCCGATTTCTTACCGAGCCCACCATTATGCATGCAATAGATTCAAATTAGGAGAGCCATTTTAACATCCTTCTTGGCTTCTAATTTGGTTTTCATGATTTTTCATGTGTTTTCTCATGAATCTTCAGTGAGTCAGTGGTGAAAAATGATGGCTGGGACCCCATGGATGTGTAGACGTCGCCCTGTCAGGCGCCGTTGCTCTGACGGTCACTTGGTGTGTCCAAATTGGCTTGGTGACAGGATGGAATGATGCTGATAGCATCTATGAGAAGCAGCCCACGAGAATTATAGAGAGTAGGTACTGTACTCCCAAGACGTTTCATTGACTTTCCAAGAATATTGGTTGGTTTCCACAAATTGGGCTATCCCCAAATCATCCATGGCTTTTCCGTGGCTTTTCCGTGAAATAAACCCTCCAGCGATTTCAAGAAAACAAGGCACCGAGCATCTGTCGACCGATGCTTCAGGAGATGGGTGGAGATGGGGCCCAGTGGGGTTCGTTTCTGGCGTTGGCTTTCCCAAATTGGCCCGAAAAAACATCAAAAACGTTTGAAAAGGTCTGAAGAATTGAACAAGGAAGAGACCATAAGAGACCTGAAAAAAAAACTATGATGGATTGGGACCATTGATTTAACATATTTAACCATCAACCCAATGATATCTCCTGGATTTGTTCTGTTTTTTTCAAGACTTTGTCAGACGACCTGAACTGGGGGCAGAGCCACAAAAATTCGACAGACGGCAGGAGATCAGGGTCGAAGACCTCGAAAAGACGGTGGCACAAATCGCCAATGACATCAAGCCATGGGAGTGACCCGAATTTTTTCGTGCTGAATGGAGAGAGCCTGAAGGGAGCCATTGGGGTATGGGTATCCATATTCCCTATATATTTCCCTATGAAAAATGGGGAGCCAGTTGGAGCTACCTCCAGAGATCTAAGAGTTTCCCAACCATATCAAATAGCTAAGATGCTGGAAAATCATGGAAAATCAAACTGCCATCCCTCCAACCAAACTTGACGATTCCGATGGGCGGTTCTCTGGCTGTTAATTGGGCGAGGGTGTTACCATCCATGTCCACCTGCTGATTTCATCTGATTTCTAAGTCATTTCCATCCCATACACAGTACCATGTTTCTGACCTGATGCATTGAAAAGTATGTGCTTCCAGCAACTTTTTAGGATAACCCTGACCTTCTCAGAATCAGTTTTTGGATGTTTTTGGGGTGTAGTAATATCGATATTAATGTGACAAAAACTTCCAATAACAAACCGCAAAGTTAGAGAAGTTTTTGTGTGACCCATTTCTGGTGATATATTCCTGTAGCCGTTCAGCAGCCCGCCATTGATCGCAATTCCACTGCTGCCGAGGTCGGGGAATTTTCGATACGTAAAGAAGATCGAAGATGCAGCAAGAAACCATGGCAGAGTAGATGCTGGGCACTGGATTTCAGGTGGTCAGATGATGTCGGATGGAATTCTGGTGGGTTCGTGTGGGTTCCTGATTCAATGCTGAAACAAAGTGTGAGATGGACTTGGTTTAATATGGTTTAATATGTTAGCTTATGTTAACTTAATGCAGTTGAGTTGTACTTCCTTCGCATTGTGAGTTTCTGATCCGCTGAGGACTTGATGAATGGCAGCACCTATAATCGTGCCGTGGAGACTTGACCGACAAACTACGAGCCGAGGATCATGTGGGGTGGCGTCTGAGATTCGGATTATCAATGGCTCTTTAGTATTCTTTAGCAATATCATCCAAATTAATCCAAATTATATTTATATGGTGTATTTCTATTTTGCGATATATTAGTGCAAATGGCCATTTAATCATTATGTAAGAGGGAAAATGACGGAACATGAATGCACTTCATGATAAACCAGTGGATGGAATGGGGAACCTTATTGTCAGACAAACCCATGTCAACCCTGGATTCCCCAATGGAAGAGGGTTCGCCAATGTGATGTTTTAAGCTAGCAATATGGTAGTCATGGTACCCCACCCCAATTGAACACCTAGGCAAATGATATTGAATCAGGATTGACACTAGATCATAATGATATCATATGGCCATGGCTCAAGGTTGATAAACGCCAACATGGATGATTTGGATGACCACATCTGAACAGCCCATTTCTGGTCCAAAGCCGCCATGAGGGTCTTCTCAATAGATCAACTCCGGGGGATCCCTAAAATCATCAGTTTGCCATGGTATAAACATCAGTTGGTCATACAATGTCCAGAATCTGATAGATGTTTTAATAGATGTTTCATCCATTGAAAAGGGCAGTTCCCATTGCCATGTTTTGGTCACTTTAGTCACAGAGGGCGGCTGAGTGAGGCAGTCAAGAAGATGCCGAACAGCACCTTGCTGCGTTGGAAGTGGGCAGGGCAGCAAGGTGTTCGGCGGGTCGTAGGTAGCCTACTTCAAATCGACATGGAGACTCTCAAAAAATGGTGCACTTAGGCATCGCAATTTTTGAGGATTCATTGAATCATCTCTTAGATTAAACAAATGATAAAAACATGAAGATAACATGAACATGTTTGGCATTGTTCAGCCAAGCATAGCATCGCGGAGATTCCCTGAGGTTGGGTTGAGAAGGGGCCAAAGGAATTTGCCAAGAAGCACCCCAGCGAGTGCGAGTGTCCTTGGCGTAGCCTGGCGATTCTCGTCGAACTCACCAAGCAGGCGGGGAACCCGGTGGCTGATGGTAGCCCAGACACCTTGGACGGCCAAGATCCAAGGATGGGGTACTCCAAAAACATCACAGAAGTAAGACAAATAAGCCGAACATGCCCAAAGAGAATAATATATATACAAAACACCATGATGTAAAACTTCAAATCCCATTAATTATATGAAAATCACCCATAAAATGTGGATAATTTTGCCAGATCCATCCAGCCCCAAATGCATCAATGGTCCTGTCTTCGCACGCAGGGCTTCAATGCCACCTGCCAGTTGCTGGACGTTTTCCGAGACGATCACTACACCTATGCCACCTGGCGGACATGGGTTTAACCATCAGATAATGATGTCACCAGCCAAAATGGGCATTGGGCTGGACAAAATGCCGATTTAGACATCAAACAAGTGTGATTTCACCAGCCAACATGGGGATATCACCTTCCAAAACATGGATTTAAGCAGCGAATTATGGATAGGGGTTGATTTAGAAATGCGGGATGCCACATTGCCCCAAATTTGCTACTGGAATGGGATTTTGGGAATGCCGCTCATGGATGATGTAGATGTGAAGCGCCGTTCAGCTGTCTGATGTTGAAAAAACGTAGGCTGCCGTTCGAACCTTGGAGAATTGAATCTGGTCGAAGATTCTGTTCTGTGAGAGATTTGAAAAAAAACACAGCCATATAGAAACCCCCGAAAAGATACAAAAGTATAGAACAGTAATTGATCAGAATTGATCACTACCCTCTGGTAAACTAACATAACTATGGAAAATCACAATTTTTCATGGGAAAATCCACTATTTCTATGGCCATTTTCAATAGCAACCTGTTAGTTGACCAGAGGGTATCTGTCGGATGCCTAGCTTCGAGTATCGAGTGACTTGCAGGCGGTGAGTGAACTTGCAGCTGGAGGTGGGGTTCTTCAATGCCATGTTGGGTTTCACATGTTAGCACATTGGGGATCGTATGTTGCCTCACTACAACCTATGCAGCCTATGAGCCAAATATATCCAAATATGCGACTTGTGGATACTTGTGGGTTGTCCTTCTCTGATTTTATCACATGGACATGGAATTAATGAACTACCTCATGCTATTTGCAATGATCAATGCTGATTTATGACCGTCTGCGGCAAGCTGGGAAAAAGCATGGAAAAGGGATCGATCCAAGACACGAGTGGAAGCGATCACAGCGAGAGTTCTCCAGTGGGTCAAGAACTTGAAAGTGGTTCCTGTATATGACATGAAATATCATGAAATGACATGAAATTATATCCGTATATCATCGTATATATATTATATATATATATATTTGTTTCAAGATTTTATAAACAAATGTCTACAAGCAAACATGTTTTTCACGCCGAACTTCCTGTAGGAAACCCCCAGTGATTTTTCCCCATCTCCAGGGTGACGTGTCAAAAGTCGCGCGCGAGGCGACCTATTTTCCTGGTGTTTGAACCATCCAGTTCCCACGGCAGATCGCGAGGTGTGCTATGGGGATTCCTTGGGGATTCCTTGTGGCCCTGTGATTCACTTCATCCCGGGGAAAAGCCATGGATAACTGATGCTATGTGATATGGGATTTTCCAGGCCTTAGATTACCGGAGGCTTATGTCCGGCTGCTCTCATGCTCACATCAACCGGACATGAAACGATGGAAAGATAGAAAGGTCAAAGAAAGAACATCAATGGATAGTAAGCAACAATTGCTGACCCAATTATTGCTGACCCAATTTTTTTGGGGTTGAACGATTGAATCTTGAAAGAAACCCTGGTTAGCATTAGCACCTGGCATAACTCGCTTGGTCGCCGTGATCAGCAGAATACGGGCTCTAGAGGCAGCCCACTGTGACCGAAAAATGGCATGTATATATATATATTATATAATATTATATATATATATGCTAATACGAATAGATTACACATGTTTTTAATGTTATGCCAATATCTACTGTATATTCATGTACATCCTATTAGACGGAAGTGCATATGTTTACATATATATATATATGCGTGTGTGTGTATGTCTCATTTATATATATACACAATAAGCGCATATATTTACATATATTTACTGTATGTAGCTGACCTCATCCGCTCTCCCGTTTTTTTCAAATGGCTCGTTCCCTGCGCAGTCAGAGATGCTGCCGTTGGTGGCACAGACGTTCTCCGCAGTGGAATGGCTTCATGCGTCCCCTGGCGGAGTCGGCCATGGGTCAGATCAACCGACAACGAGAATGGCGGGGTACGGGGATAGCCAAGGAATGCTTAAGGCGGCTTCAACTGTGCCTGTTTCATCATTTTTCTCTTATCTTGAACGAGTTTTAAGGTTGATTCCTGGAATTTGTTGAAGGACAGATCTTCCGGAAGACCTTTTTTAGATGGATGATTGGCAACCTGGGGCTCGAAACCTACAGCATTCAACTTATAATTGGGTAAAGAATGACTATATTAGGTTTTATTGAAATACGGGTTTTTGGATTCCCTCTACTTCTACAAGATGTTTGTATAATTTTGTATATGTAGTATAGTCTATATTATATTGTCTAATTATTTTGAATATAATAAAGTTCAATATGCACATGTCCCAATGACTTCCTCAGAGCCCAGTACGACATCACCGAAGCTTTGAGGTTGGGAATTGCGCATCGAGACCTCTCGCTGGAGAACATTTTGCTTTCAGGCCGCTGTCGGCCGGCGTCGGTGTTTTGAATCGATTGACCCTTGGGCCACAAGAACCCAAAGGGGATGCAGATTGTAGATTGCGTTTGCCCCATGCCACACATATGAATATAAATATACGTAATTATGTGTATATATATACACATTATATTATATGATATTGTATTATACTATATTAATTATTGGATTTACTGGAGTTTCATAGGATTTAACCAGCCAAAACAAGATGAAACTAATGAACAATTGGGCAGACTTGTAATTGCTACCAATTTTGTGGCAGTTTGGTGATTAAGCAACAAGTCTGGTGTATGCAACGTTTAGACACACCATGACACACCCATAATGGATGTTTTTTTAGAATGCTATTTTTGGATGTTCGTGGCTTCATGACTACAGTACACATATACATAGATCTTTTGATATTTTGATATGTCTTTACCTATATAAATTGTCGTGTTGTACAGTACTACGCGTGGCAGCCCTAGTCTGCATCATCATGAATGGGATGTTGCAAACCCAAGGAGTTTGTTCTCGGGCCTTTGGCGTGGTCCGATGCATAAGGTCTTTGTTGGATTGTTTGTGCTATCAGAACTCCGCCATTGGAAACACTCAAGGCACCATTGATGTGATGTTAGGCTCGAAAAATCGAGGCCCTGCAAAACATTGACTCTGGTCACTCTGGTCCTCCTTGATAATGACGAGTCAGACGAGTCATAGGCCTTCCACATACCAGACAATACCAGACATCCATTCTCAGGCGGATTACCCTCTGGTAATTTAATGTAGCTATTGAAAATGACCATTTATAGTGGATTTTCCCATTAAAAATGGTGATTTTCCATAGTTATGTTAGTTTATCAGAGGGTACCAATGACTGTTGCAATTTTGTGCCGTCCCCACATTATGAAATATGTCGGTGAAAGTGAATCATTCTCCCGGGGTCGGCGCCTCGCCGCGTTTCTCTGAAAATTTTGGGCACCAAAATGCGACATGAAATTGCATTATCACAGCTACCCTCTGGTTATTGAACATAGCCATGGTATAGATGGCCCATTTATAGATGGTTTACCTATTAGAAATGGTGATTTTCCATGGCTATGTTAAATAACCAGATGGTAATCATCAGTTTTTCCATGTTTTTCCATATGTTCCCCATTCAAAGTTGCCGTTTTGGGATATCCACCATTCTCAGAGCAGCTCAAAACCACGAGTCAACGCGTCGGTCAGGTGCGAACACCACCAAAGCGCCACGCGTCAAAATCATCGACTTTGGGATGGTCCCTTGGCGAATATGTTGGGATATGTTGGGGAGAGATGCGGCTATGTCTATGCGAATTCATAATAATATATATATATATACAGATGATTATATACGCATAATTTATATACATTAGATGATATACGCATAATTTCTGCATATATACATGCTCCATGGATCCACGGTATAAATAGAATTCATATTCACACACACATATATATATATGTATATATATATATAATATCTATTTAATTCACATATATATATATATATTATATACTATATCTATTTACACGAATGCCATAATATGCAGAGAACCTGATGGCGACACACGCCGAGATGCAAGTGATTCCGAGGCTCATGTTGGGCGTATGTGCCCAACGGCCACTACCCTTGGTCCAGGCCTGGCTGAGTCAAGATGGTCAGGGCTCATTTCCTGGAGACAACATCAAAGTTGGGTTAGTTAATGTTAGTTAATGTTAGCTAATGTTAGTTAACGTTAGTTAATGTTAGTTAGCCCAGATAATTATCCATGATTATCCCAGATACCCCCTGGTAAATCTGGTAAATTAACATAGACCCTGAAAATCACCAATTTATAGTGGAAACTATATAGTCTTCCAACCCCTGTCTGGCAGGGTCTATATCAATGTGAATTTACTGGAGGGTAATGCCCAGATTCTGTTAGTTCATGTTAGTTAATGTTAGTTAATGTTAGTTAATGTTAGTTAATGTCAGTTAGTTATCCATGATTATGCCCAGATGCCCAGATTCTCCCAGGTTCGTAGTGACATGCGGCATGCGTACGAGGCAAACCTTCGTATCAAGCCCCTGAGCTCCACTTGAAACGTCCGTAATCCCCAGCGGGGACCTGCGGAAAAATCGGAAGGCAATGAGTTAACCGGCCGTAAATCAATGATTATGGCCATGGGAATTAATATGTGCATAACCTATTTAATATGATTAATTATATGATATTGTATGATTATATACATCTACAAAATTTATAATCAACAATATGGGCTGAAATTGAAGAGCATCAAGTTGGCGAAATATTCTGATGATTTATTGTTTCAGATCCATGTTCAATCAGTCCTTTCCAACAAAAAGTGTCAAAAAAATCAGAAAATGTCAAGAACATCCACTTGTAGCATCCCCAGGTGAGTATGACGGCTTCTTGGCCGACGCCTTTTCGCTGGGCGTCGTGGTCTACGTTTGAGGCTCAGGACGTGCCAGAGATTTTCAGGGCCCCCCTGATGCAGTCTGGTTGGTCAAGTCCCTGTTCGATCGGGATTTGTTTATGGTCAGCCTAGTTATTTTTTCACTAGCACAACATTTTCTATGAACTTCTATGTTGTGTTGCATTCTTTGGTAATTTTGGGTATTTCAAACAACAATTTTCTTGAAACATGTTGGTTTTATCACAGGTTGAGAGAGATACCGTGGTTTTTTTTGCCCAAAAAAGTCGGCCTAAGGCCATGGCCTTGGGAAATTATCCATGGCAATCTACGAAGCCGGGCCGGTCTCGCGTTTTCGATTGGATCTCCTGTGTGGAATCTCAGGCGATCCCTCAAGAAATCCTGGAGGATGGAGGATGGGATTTTTTCTCCGTCTTAGAGGTGGTCAGACTCAACCTTTGGATGTTTAAGAAAAATGTGGTTTCTTTGAAGGTTTAACATGTTAAATCATGTTTAACAGACCAGAAACTGGTGTCATTTTATGTCCAGTTGGGTACCGCGGCGCGGTTCGCCGAGGTCATGGGATCTTGCCATTCCTGCAGCGGCGTGAAATGGTGTCTGGGCCAAGAGAAATTGGTCCCAGACCATCCCAGAACTATAGGGCTACTATATATATATGATCACTATATAGGCTATTTATATATATGATCACTATATAGTTAAAAAATGTTTAAAAAAAATATGGCCCTTGCATCACTTGCCAAGTTGAGTTTCATGAAACTGCAGCCGGTGAAGCCATCAAGGCACTGTCTTGCTTTGAGGTGTACGGGTATACACTAATATGATCTAATATGACGATTGGATAAGAACCAAGTCTACATTATTAATGTTATTAATGCTGAGCAGCAATAGCAATCAGGCAATCAGACATGGGCCACGTCAGCCACCAGACCAATCTTCCTTGTGCTCACTGAGTTTGAAGGTCGTGGGGACCAGTCATGACACGAAGATTGTGAAGGGTTTGCTGTTGGCATCTGCAGCGAGGCACAATGCTTTTCAGAAGATTTGATTGAGCAGCTTGGCTGAAAGGATCCAGTATGCGCTGGTCATTGGATGAAGATGGGCTTTACGCAAGTCTTTAACACGAGAAGTGTAGATAAATGAAATTAAATGAATATGTTTAAAGAAATCAGCATTCCCAAACCCATTGTTTTTTTGCTGCAACTCTTGGCTTTCTTGTGTCACGGGTGCTATAGCATCTCTGCATGAGTGTGTTTGTGTCACTGCGTTTGGCCCTATGTTTTGGTGTGGATTTTGCTAAGAGAACTGATGTGTGTTTGCCGGACTTGTGAAACACATGCACGTTTTCATCAGACTTGTCAGTCTAAAAATACCATGATGATAGTTATACATGGACACACGCACACATATATTATAATATATTATATACATATGTAATATCTCTATGTATTTGTGGGACCTTATATCATGTAACATCCAAAAGGATCTGAAGGCAGGAGCTAAGCTGCGAGTTTATCTGAGGCTGATGGCAGCGCTTCTACAAACTCAACCTGCACAGAGACTTGGTCTCGTCCAGTGTGGAGCCCCAGTCATTGATGGCACCAGAGCAACTTTGCTGGGGCCCAAGGGGATCCCAAAGACTGAAACCTGAATCGTCATTGAAGAACTACGGCTTGATGAAGTTGTTAACTTCGCTTTTGGCTTTTGGTGTTGAATGGTGGTTTTTGAGACATTTTGAGACTGGTGGATGGCACTTGGGATGTGGAGTGGTGCCGTGACCAGGTCTGGTAAGTGTAAGCAGGACAGGCTGGGGCTGGAGATGCTGCCCAGAATGGTCCGACCATGTCCAACCTTCAACGGCTTCATTTCTGTGGTCTTCGGGCTGGGCCACCCGGCACGCCATGAAAAAGCAGGATTTGCCTACCATTTGGAACTGCAAGTGGCTGGCATCCTCAGCTGCTCAAGGCCTGTGGGGGTTCATTGCCACGATTGCCGGCTCCAGTTCTGATAAATGACACCGGCCCATATCGCCTAGTGTATGCCTAGTGTTACTGATGGTTATTGTATGTGATTGTATGTGATTGTATTGGTCCAGGGTTGAAAGATAGTATTCGTGGTACTCCATGGTACTCCGGGGTTGACATTCATCATTTTGCGGCCCTTGCCTTGTTCCATGTTCCAGCTTGGGTGAAGCATGCGGCATCATGCGGCAGGCCAGTGGCGAGCCATTTCCAGCAATTCAGTGACCTGGCCCAGCGGAGTGGCTGGGAACTATTGGCCCAAAGATAAGACGTGAACTACACCAAAGTACACTAAGAGAACCGGTTCCAATTCATTGCAGGCATAAAAGTCGGCCCAATGGTGTCCCATGGTTTGAACATGTTTGAACGACACTACCGCGACCATATCCATAGATGTGTTTCCTCAACGTGGCTATGGTATGCGCTGACCTTGCCGCAGGAAACTCTAGCTGAGTGGGAAGTCAACACACACACACATATATATATATATGTATGTATATATATACATGCGGTGTATATATTTATATAGTATATATACACATATATATATATATTTAAAACAAAACATTACACACAGATAACTTCTACCCACACCGTCATATCATACCACATTATTCCTCAACATATAATCTCAGAACATACTAGTATCCTCACATATCATATGGGTTTGTTTGAAAATAGACGAAACTAGGGTAGCCAGAATCCAATTGTGCATCACGAGCTTCCTTTTTGGGGGCCCAGGGCCCTATTCTTCGACAAACCCATGTCAAATCAATCCCCACCATTAATTTCCCCGCCCATTGCCAACTTCACGGAATTCCCCATGAAATGATTATCCGCATAGATTACTCCCAATATAACCCTGTAATATCATACAATATCCCCCAAGAAATCCCAATGAATCCTACGAAAAAAAATCCCATGAAATCCCACTATATCCCTATAAAATTATTGAATGCCAATTAAAGCACATTAAACCACACTATATTCCTTTTAAATGCCCATTAAATCACATTAATTCACATTAAATCACACTAAATCCCAATTTTTCTGGATCAAAACGCAATTTTTTCACGCTGTCACCGACACATTGTTTGGCGTACAAATGGTGCCGAGGTTAGCACCATGGCCACAGAGACGGAATCCGACGCTGAGGAGCAAGGCACAGGTCGCCCAGTTGGGAAGCCCAGGTAGACACTTTGGTGTTGAACAGTTTGTTGATTTATGTTGGGAAAAATGGTGGTTTCATGGGATTTAACCAATTTTAACCACTATAAATGGTGATTTGATGGTGATTTACCCTCTGGTTATAACTAACAGTTCGCCATGGTATAGATGGCCCATAGAAATAGATGCTTTACCGTTCTTAATAGCTTGGTGGATCTTTCCATGGCTATGTTAAATATCCAGATGGTTAATTTGATCACCACCGAACCCTGTTCTCCCTCACTGGATTCAAGCTTAGAAAGGTGAAGTATAATTACCAATATTAGCCTTCTGAAACAGGTTTGTGAAGTAATATAATTTGCCCAGATGTTTGAATATGGATGTTTAATAATGGATGGATGTGTACTGTAATAATCGATGTTTAATAATGGACCGTTTAACAATGGATGTTTAAGCATGGAACTTAATGACTTAGTGACTTAGTTTGTTGGACCTTATTACTGGATTTTTGGGGATACTAGTGGATGCTTAATGGATCTTAGCGGATGTTTAAATGGATGTTTAAAAGGATGTTTAAATGGATGTTTAATGGGTTCGTGGATGTTTGCGAGTGTTGATGGGTGAGAATAGATGTTCATGGATGTTGGTGGATCACAATCGATGTTCCTGCATGTTGGTCGATGTTAATGGATATATATCCATATTAGCTAATGATATTTTGATGATCATTCATTTATCTATGGATATTCAACGTTTATGCATATTTATGACCATCAATATGGATATTCATGGTGTCAAGTGGATTCTTGACCTTAATCCCTGCATACATCGACGAGATGGCCGAGGTCACCTCCCAGTTCCCAGAGGAGCTAAACCAAAAGCTATTGAAAATGGCCATAGAAATAGTTGATTTACCCCATTTAAAAAACAATGGGTGGATTTTCCATACGTAGTTATGTAATTAATAGTTTACCAGGGAGTAGTTCCAAAAGTGACCGATCAACAACGGAGGTCTTCCATAGCTAAGTTCGATTGCCAGAGGGTACTGTGCAAATTCGACACTGAAGCAGCACTCAGCACGACACCAGGTCGACACCCCCAAAGTCCCTTAGCTCCCCTGGGCCCTCGGGAGAAACTTTTCGCTTCTTTCCTTGCAGAAGCCCCAATAAAATAAATCAAAATAAATCTAATTATTCCTCGGATGTTAAGATAAATATTAGAATAGAAAGAGAACGAAAGAGAAAGGATTACTGTAAATTAGATTAAATTCGATGAATATAGCTGGTTGGTGGTTTGGAACGTGTTTTATTTTTCCATATATTGGGAATAATCATCCCAACTGACTAATATTTTTCAGAGGGGTTGAAACCACCAACCAGATAGGTGATGTTCTCCCATCTTCTCCAGGTTCCAACTTTTCTATCATGTTCTATGACTCTGACTGGGGGGTTTTCTATGACCTCCAGTGAAGCATTTAAGCCACGCGCCGGTGCCATCGCATGAGGCGTTTGGATTCGATACAGGGGGGCTCGCAGGTGGGGTAGCAGACCCATGCAGAGCTATAGATATTTACTCTGATGTTGCAATGATATATATATGATATATATTATGTCTATATATATATAGACCGCAGTATAGCAAAAATAGAACTTCTAATTTACATACACATATGCATGAAGGTGTGTATGTATATGCATATGTATATGTATCCTGCGGTCGCTCAATTGCGAGCGTATTGGGACTGCGGTAAGTAGCCGCAGCCCCAAACTAGGGTTGCTTTGAAGGTGATACCCCGCGGTGAACCATGAAGTGGAGAAGAACGCAATAGGCTGATGTTTACTGCTTTGAAATTATATGCCACCATTCCAAGACTCCAAGACTCCAAGAGACAGCAATTTACATATTCACCGCCATGTTGGCATGGCCAACCCAACTGCAGCATCACCAGCATGCCTGCAGGTTTGGCATGCTGATGCCGCGCTGGAGAATCCACGCCCCAAGAGGCTGGGAATTGGGGCCGAAGGCATTCAGTGTGAGATCAAGAAAATCCATGAAAATCATGTTTTTATGAATGGGATATAGGTAACATGGGTAATATGGGTACCTTTGCGCGGGGTTGGGATCTTTGATGATATTTGTTCTTTCTTGAACATGACAACCCGACAAGGCCTTTTGAAATTCTAGCTGCGACACGGTTCTTGGATGTTCTTAGCATCAGACATGGTATTCTTCTCGAATAGGTATGCCGTCAATGACCCAAAACATGAACCATCAACCAGGAATGAACTATGGTCACTTCTGTTGGTTGAACCCCCAAGCCTTTATGGTGATCTGATTGCTAGTGGTTTTCCAATTGAAGTTGTGATTGTTAAATTCTCCCACGACTATGACAAATGTGATGATATTCCAATAGGAAAGATATGAGCTCCCACTAGTTTCCCATTGAAAAACAACGGTCTTCCAGCTCAAAAAGTAGTCTTTTCCCAAGAGAAAGTTGATCTTTTTCTCATGATTTTCCCAGTTTGTACCCCATAATCCTAACATTTTTTGAGCGTGGGCCTTCCCAACATATCCCAACATGCTGGATGGTTAAACCTTCATTAAAGCCCCTAAAAAGCACCCATGAATAATCATTACACCATGATAAATCATCATTAAACACCATTCAACTCCCATTCAACTCCCATTAAATCACATTTTCGCATCATTTTCCTTCTTGAACTTTCCATTTTTCCGAAACTGAAGCAGGCGGTTGATCAAGGGCGCGGCCAAGCTGAGCTCCTGAGGACGGTTTTGGGCGGGTTTCGGTCACCAACTCTGTTGGAAAAGTGTGGAAATTGTGCAAACACTATGGGACAAATGTGTACACATGTGGGAAAATTGTGGCAACGATTTTGAACACAATTACATACTGTAAGTGAAACACACATATATATATAATTACTATATAATATATGTTTTACTGATACGAAAAACATATGGAACACATGGTGTGATTGCACGCGGCAGAAATGGCGCTTGTTTCACTAGATTGGGCATTCATTCAATTTCATAGATTTGCATTTTTGGATTAGATGTTTGCAATTTCAAACAACAGACATGGCGATTTCAACAGATAGAAATCGGGATTCGACATAAATGTGGATGCGCCAAAGAGAAACATGTGAGTTTATTTAAGTATTAAGCATTTCAGCTGCTGCATTTGGAAACAGTGCCGAGAAAGAGAAGAAACTGGAGAGTGCGGGACGCGTTCTGAACGGGATGCAACGGGAGTTTAATGATCCATCACCACTGGGCCACCAGAATCTCCACCCAGCGGGTTCCGTTGCAGGAAACTTTCAGATTTAGCCTTTGCCATTGCAAGGTGGCTAGGCTGGCGGTAGCACCGGCCGCTCGTTGCGCTGTTGGGGCGGACTGTTGCGCTGCCTGATGCAGTGGCCGTTGAGCGACCACGGGGTCAAGCGCAACATCCGCCCAGCGCGATGCGGTTTTCACAGCTGGAGCTGAGGAATGGATGGCTGGTCGTGGGGACCTTCGTCCCCACGATGCAACCATGGAATTCTGAATTGGGCTGCAAGCATCAGTGAATGTTATTAATGATTTAATGTATATTAATGTGACCCAACAATGAACCTGCGATTTGGGCATGATTCCGATAGTTCCCACATCTTACCACCCTTTTATTGTGATATGAAAGATTGTTTATTGGGTGTACCAAATTAGAAGATGAGAGACATTCTGAAATGGAAGAGCGATCAGATTTCCTGAGCCCCAATAGCTTTCAGTCAATGGGCGGCATTCCAGCCTGATGGTAGCGCATCAGAACCACCGTTGAGCCAACTTTTGGATGTTGCTCTGAACCTGGGAGACAGTAGATGCTGGTAAATATCAGATGATATCAGTAGATACTCAATGCACTTCAACGCTTCGCTTTATGAGTACGGTTTATGGAAAAAGACCAAGCCAAGACCTCAAACAATTTAGGTGCCGGGTGTAGTTACATCACGTTACATGCGAAAACCTGAGTCCCTTCCCCTTGGCCCAAATGTTCAGCACATGGTGCTTTCAAAGGATGAACGCTTTTGGATCACCTAACGGTTCGCAACCTTATGACAACTTATGCTGTCATCTTTATACAATAGCCATTTACTGCAGTTATGATCCTTCTGGCTGTGAATGGTCTAAAGTGGTATGTTATTATTTGGATGAGCTCTTCAATTAACATACTACTATGGGACCATTCAAATCATAGTGGTCCACTATAGATTATTGGATGAACATTATGTTATTATGGTCCCATGTTACTTTTCAGATCGTTCAAGCAACATGGGACCTAACTCGGGCGCAGCTGAGATATGTTTTTTGGGTGAGCTTAAAAAACACTCACAGCATCAACCCTCCGGTGGTTAGCGGCACGTGCGTGAGACTGACGTCCGAAACAGATCTTTGCGTGAATGCTTATGAACATGTACTTGTCTCGAGCCTTGCCTGATCTAGAAAGTGGAAGCCAAGGAAAGTTATATACTGTTAGCTCATGTGAAATCCTATCACGATCCTTTGCTGACTCATATTTCCATGCCCAGATGCACGCATACCACATGCGGATTCATGTGATAGCCCACTGAAGTCAAACTTGAAGGAAGGAGCATGTTGCTGGCTAGATTGATTTTGTTGACCTCACAACGGCCGGACAATAAATGATGGCTATTGATGGCTAGTATTGGGAGTTCTCCAAATGTTGCTTCTGCCTGTGCTTCTTCTGTAAAAGATGATGTTGGTCTGTTTTTCTAGTTATCTAGTTGCTCTTGGACAGCTTCTAAAATTTTAAAACATAACTGTTTTCGTTTTGGACGTTGGCCTGCAGCGATTTTGCGATGAGATGATGTTCTTGGTCAAAGCTCTAGACCCCAATCGCCGGATCTTCATGAAGCAACTCACTGCGCAGCGAAGTCGAGCTTTATTTCAAACTAGAGTAAAAACAACGTGTTTTTTCCTCCTTCAAACATCAATACAAGATATATCAAGATATACAAGCTTGGTACCCCCCACAGCCCATCCCCACATTGCAGCAGCTACCTGAAACTTAAGAATCTCATTGCAGCTCAAGCACTGGGATTGGGTGCAGCTGCGGCGAAATCGCGAGGGCGAAAACCGCATAAACCGCGAGAAATCTAAAGGCAACAGCAATCGGGTTCCCAGATCCACGGTATAGTCATGTATAGTCAAAAGGTTTCAAGATGTTTGTGATAGGTACTCGTAGTTTAAACATGTTTAAACCTTTAGTTTTGTGCTATAAATGGAAAATAAATGAAAATAACCATGGCCAGCAACATTTTTTTTGGGTGAGCTACCAAAGATTTGATCATTGACAATATCTATTGAGTATCTACCTTAAATATATATATATGTGTGTGTATGTACATCTGTGAGCAACTAGTACATATGTATATATTCCACCCATGTATGATATGACAGTCCCAAGTTGATTCATGCTCTTACGGATGTGTTTGAAACACACGCCAGCATTGTTTGACCCGTGGTTACGACCAACAAGTTGGGAAACAACAAAAGTATTTTCACAATAGTGGTAGTGGAAATTAAAACGTTTTTTTTTAGTCGTTTCTAATATGGAGCCAGAAAAGAGGTTATCAGGGATGGACATTCATTCAGTAGTAGGCATGATAACAACCATCTCATGACTCAGAAGGGCTCTACAAAACGCAACGGGAAATGATTTGCTATGCACATATATATATATGTATATAGCCATTGTAGGTAGTACACGAAAATCCCTCCCCCACTTGGATTTGATCATTTTTGGGTCCCTCATGTGGTGCCTGGCGCTGTTTGTTGAGGGCTTGAGGGCACTAGGCATGGCTTGAAACTTCGATGCTTTCCGGATGCATATCCACAATATACGCATCGTGGGAAATTTTGGAAGAGCCACCAGCCACCATATTCAATGACATAAACCATGGTGTCCCTTTTTGATTCGCCAATGAAGCCATTGATCAACTTAAGTTTCAGAGAATGCAATGTTCCCAAGAAATCCTGGAAGAAGCACGAGGGCCGGTTGCTTTGTTGCTCGCGCGCTGAGAGGTGTCGCGCGTGCCGATGATGAAATTTCGCCCAAAGGATTGTGCGCGATGTCTGATTCACGTTGCCTGATTGGCACAGATTTTCTTGGTCCCATGGCCAGCAAGACGCTCAGTTGTTGGAAGGCTTGACACAACAATGTCAACCCCAGATTAGTACAGTAACTAAACCGATTGATTAATCTGGGGTTCGATCACTCAGCATTTACTATCTTCCGCTGCATGATTTTGAATATCGTGTTTTTCCTCGCACAACATGATCAGTAGTTCCTATTGTCATTCGTGTCCATGCAACCCTTCCATTCCAGGTCGTTTTGAACTCGCCTTAGACTTCTCAAAACTGAGATTGAATGATTCATGACATGAATTTGCCCTACCACTGCGTGTTTTGCTGGGGCGATTTGCTGAGTGCACAGCAAGATGAGGGGCAGACTCTCTCGGTGTTTCCACCGCCATAGACCCACATGGTTCCAGTGACTGTCCTGAGAGTTGTCCTAGGCTTCCATTCCGTTGCCCTGCCGTAGGCCAACTACTAGAAACAAAACCTAGCAATTCAGTATATATATATATGTACACACTTGAATGATCTTGAATGTACTTGATGTATATACTTACATTTCCTTTATATAGATAAATAGATTGGTTGATATGATCTGATCTGATTTGATGTGATTCGATTCGATTCGACATGATGTGCATATTAAACATACCAGTAGTACCGCACAAGGCGGTGGCGGAAGTTTATTTCTAGGGAACCTATTAGAGAGGTTGGTTGTTGTGAATCACGGATGGCAGAGCGAATCAAGTGATGGAGCGAAAGGTGGTTGAAGTTGTGTTTTTTGGAGTGGTTGCAATGGTTGCAGTGGTCACCTCACCCACAATTGCTGGATATAATTAGTGTGGTGTAGTGCAGTTGTAGTTGTAGTTGTAGTGTGGTGTAGTGGACTTGTAGTTGTAATGTGTAATAAGTGTAGTGTAGTTGTAGTTGCAGTTGTGATTGTAGTTGTGGTGTGGTGTAATTAGTGTGGTGTATTGTAGTGTACTGTCGTGTTGTGTACTGTAGTGTGGTATAGTGTAGTGTAGTCTAGTGTAGTGTAGAGTAAGGTAGCGTAGTTGTAGTTGTAGTGTGGTGTAGTGTAATTAGTGCAGTGTCATGTACTGCAATTGTAGTGGCTGTAGCGTAATGTGATGTAGTTAGTGTAGTGTAGCGTAGTGTTGTGTAATGTAGTGTAGTTGTAGTTGCGTTTGCATTTGTAGTTGTAATGTGCTGCAGTGCAATTAGTGCAGTGTAGTGCAATGTGGTGTAGTTGATATTGTTGTTGTAGCTGTGGTAGTAGTGGTAGTAGTAGTAGTTGTTGTTGTTGTAGTGTGATTCGTGTAGTGTAGCGTAATTAGATGCAACTAGTGTATTGTAGTGTAGCGTAGTGTAGTGTAATTAGTGTAGTGTAATGTAGAGTAGTTTATTTGTATTTGTAGTTGTTGTAGTATTTTTATTGGAGCTATGGTAGTAGTTGTTGTAGTTGTCTATCTATTTATCGATCTATCTATCTATCTACCTGTCTATCTGTCTATCTGTCTATCTATCTATCGATCTATCTATCTATCTATGTATCTGTCTATCTATCTATCTACCTATCTATCTATCGATCTATCGATCTATCTAACTATCTATCTATCTATCTATCTATCTATCTATCTATGCGTGCGTCTATCTGCAATCTGCAAGCTTGAAAACGAAGCAATTCTGCGAGACTTTTTCAACTTTGAACTTGATAACGTCAAAAAGGAAGCAATTCTGCCAGACTTCCTTCAATAATGCAAAGTTGAATGCAGACCTGACGGCCTCGTACCAAGGCGTTTGGCGATTTTTCTAGTCCATGTCTCTGAAGCATTGCGCCTGCCACGAGAAGGTGATGCCAGGTCATACAAAGTGCTGCACCTGTCACAAAATCATCTTCCCAAAACTGAAGTTCTGATGCTCCAAAATGCAACCCCTCTCAGGAAATCAGCGCCCTGACATCATCTCTGATGAACATGTCTCTTGCACTGCGCCTGCCGCGGAAAATGCATCTTTCCAGATCCAGATCCTTTTCAAATGTCCCACGCCTGCCAACGCTTTTGGAAATGCTAGAAACTCACGTTTTGCAATCACTTGCGCCGGCTACGCGAAACGACATCTGAACGTCCAAAAGTGGTCCGAAAATGTGGTGTTTTTAGCATGTTGACTTGGAAATGTGTTTCGCGCCACAACAGCGTGCACTTTTGAACATCTCAACTTCCAAAAGTGTTCCGAGGCTGAGGTGTTTTGTACATTTTGAGTTCGAAATGCGCTTCACGCTACAACGGCGTGCGCTTTTTCGACATCTCAACTTCCGCGCTTCGCGCCACAACGCCGTGCACTTCTTCGACATCTCAACGTCCAAAAGTGGTCCGAAAATGTGGTGTTTTTAGCATGTTGACTTGGAAATGTGTTTCGCGCCACAA